GTGGAGCAACCAGAGGGGGTCAAGCTGCCGGCGGCCCCTCTTCGCCAGAAGAAATAAGGTATATGCATTATTATGCATATGTTGTTCCGCAGGCGCCCCTGTCCGGCTTTCCCCTGTCGTAGGATTATCACATGTTTTTGTTTTAAAACTTTTATTACTAATACCGTTATACGACACCGTTTGTAGAGGTGAAACGAACAGACACTAAAATAAAACGACACCATGTAAACTAAACGACGGTAATAAAGTTATACTCCCTCCGTTCCTAAAAAATCTTCCCGGTTTGACTTGGCACGCCTATTAAGAAAGTGGAATAAAGTGGAAATGTGTGGTTGTGGTTGTGTGAGAAAAAGGTAAAATGAATGTGAGCCACACAAATTGTCCAAAAAGGGAAAGTGGGAAGAATTTTTGGGAACGACCCAAAAAGGAAAGTAGGAAGTATTTTTGGGAACGGAGGGAGTACTATTTTAAGTTATGAAAAATGTGTGGTGTAAGTTAACATAATTACACATGTAGCATTTTTTTAGAGCAATGAAAACAAATACTCCCTCCGTCCCATAAAATTGTTCCCGCATTGACTTGGATCGGAGTTTAAGAAAGTGAGAATAAAATGGAAATGTATGGTTGTGGTTGAGTAAGAAAAAGGTAAATTAATGTGAGCCACACAAAACTTTCCAAAAGAAGAAACTGGAACTATTTTTTGGGACGGCCCAAAAAGGAAACCGGGAACTATTTTGCGGGACGGAAGAGTACAAAAACAATCTAAACGATACACTTTTGTATTCATCAAATAGCGGCGTACACATCTTAGTGATACAAAAACATGTACATATATGTGCCCTACATACACGGCATATAAATAAAAATTAGCATAGAATATACTACATTGATTTATGTTTATGTATAGAGACACGTGTTTTTGAACAATTTATTTAACTGGATGAATTTAAAGTTAAAATTTTGCGACAATGCTTTACAGTTCCTGAAGAATTGCATTAGGAAATTTAATCAAAACAATTGAATGCAAAAGGCTCCCAAATGGCCTTCACAGATGTATTGAATTAGTTTTGGAATTAACCTATACCACAGTAACACGTACTCTGTATTATTTACTTCGTATATACTCACTCATACCAAGTCAAGTGAAGTCTAGAACCCACTGTTTCCGGTTTCCGGTTTCCGGTTCAACCGGAACCGGCGTAGCTTACAGTACGGAACTGAAGGATCTAGGTAGCGGTTCAGTTCTTCAAATTTTGGGGAACCAGAACCGGCGGTTCCAGTTCGAAACCTCTTTTTAAAAATTTTTAAATAAAAATAAAATAAAAATTAATTAAATAAATAATACTACCTCCTTCCCAATTTACTTAGCCATCGTTGAATTTTTCAGTCAAAAATGGTAAACTTTGACCATTCATATTTTAACAAATTTATTTGTGCAAAATTTAATAATTTTATACTTTTATGATAGTATTTTTAACAAAGAAAATTTTCATATCATTTTCATATTACCAATACTTTCTCCATATAAACATATTATCGGTCAAAGTTAGATGTCATTGACTTGAAAAGTCAAGTTTGGCTAACTAAAATGGGACGGAAGGAGTAGTAATGATAATAATAATAATAATACTAATATCAATATGTAGTAGTAGACTAGTAGTGATAGTTGTTTTACTTAAAATGAAAATAATACTCCGCAAATAATAATTTTTAGGTCTAACCTTTTACACACTACTAGTTATAAAAACCCATTTTATAACAAATTATAGTAATAAGTATTCAAAATTTACTAATTACTAAAGTATTTTAATTATTGACTTGTACATATGTATACCCTAATTTATATCTATTTAGTTGTTGACTATCTAATTATATATTATACTTCATTATAACAATTGTAACTATTAATTATACTAACAATTTTTGGAAATTATTTTATTTGAATAATCTTATTACATCATACTTAATCTGTTTTAAAGAATAAAAAACTCTTAAATATAAAAAAATGTAATATTATTATATCTTTATTATTTTAATTAAATATAGATAAATACTATCAATGAATAAAAATAAAAATATTAAAAAACAAAAACAAAAACTGGAGAATCGGACCGGAACTGCTGGTTCGGAACCGGAACCTCTACTATGCGGTTTTGGTTCCGGTATCATAGTTTTTGGAACCGTGAACCAGGTGTTCGGTTCCGGATCGGTTCCAAATTGAGGATAGGTCTATTGAATCCCATATTTGAAATTAAATTTCAACTTTCCATTGTAAACTTTCATCAAACGACAACATTAAACAAATCGTGAAATGCAATTACTTTTATATTTAATGTATTTCGAAGAGGTATGCCTCTTCAGGAGAGGTTCTGGTCTGGTCACCCTCTCTCTTTGTATTTCTTTTGATTATTAATAAAATATCGACAAATGTCCTCCGACATTTATCCCACTGATTTTGGTGGGGTTGCTTTCCGGGTTAAAAAAATCATAGTGATAGTACCCACTTTGTGGCTCCAAAATACAAATTTGAACTTTCTGGAAATTCTGTTATGTACATTTGTTTGTAGTTGACAAAGTCGAAAGATGGTTGAGAATAATCCAAACGGCTAAGCTGATTATCAAACAACATTTTTGACGTTTTAATCTAGTCAATCAACTATTGTGAGTCAAACAAGCTAAAAAATGGTTGATCAACCATTTTCCAAACAACCCCATAATCGAGCCTGGATTGGGCTGAGGACAACCTCATATTGAATTGTTATAAAAATAAGGATTATTAGCTATATATATCCTCATCTATCATCAAATTCACAAATATATCTCATACTTTTACTTTTATTAAAAAAAAAAGTAAAAGATTCCATATTCTCACAATTACACTTTCAAATTAGTGAAACTTAAGAAAAAAAATCATATTTATATTTCATATTTTTCGCTTCTTTCTAGTTTTTAGTTTACAAACTTGTATTGCTTATATCTAATTGTTATTGATAAAATTTGTAATTTTGAAAAAAACAAAGAGAAAAACCATAATTGTTGAAAAAGATGAAATTTGAGTCTTGATAAAAATGAAAGGATAGGATAGATTTGTGAATTTGGTGATAGTTTGAGATAAAATAAGCTAATTATCCTAAAAATAATAAAATATTATGGAGTATATAAGATTTTATACCGGTTATACTACATTACTACCTCTCCTATGTGGTTCAATTTTTAGAATGGATCACAGAGTACTAACAAGTAACAACGTACTGTAACAATACATGAAATAAACTTTGTAATGCGTTATGGATAGGATCATTAATTAAAATAAACAAATCTCACTCATATGTAACAATGTAACATGATTCCTTTTATATGGAGTCTGGGGGAGAGGGTTGGGGGAAGTCTGGAGTAATGAGGGCTTAAACTCAGTCCATTGAGTTTCAAACTCTTATATGTCTAACGGGTTTCGATTTCGAGACCTCTCACTAGGCACGGTAACCTTACAACCAGCTGGGCTGGAATACTTGGTTGACTACTTTTTGTTTTTAAACAATTTTTTCTTCACAATATCTTTGGTAAAAATAACTTTAGAAAAATTAGGAGTACAATATGTTATACGTAGGACAGTATTTGAATTATTTTCTTCTAATTTATACTCGGTATTGGGTAATTCAAATAATTTAAACTCTGACTATGAATGTTTTTACTTGGACGGTAATTTGTTGGTCTAGTTTGGTTTGCTCTGAATCGGTCTGGTCTGGTCTCTCTGTATTTTTTATAACTATCCAAGTCTGATCTGGTCTGAATTGGTCAGGTCTCATCTGGTCAAGTCTGGCACAGATAACAGTTTTTAAACTAGCTTATTAGTAAAAACATCCTATATACGTAGGACATGTTTTTTAATTTTTAACTAGCTTATTAGTAGTTGCTATATTCCCACAACTAAGTTTATCAAACACATATCAAAATAAATACTCCCTCCGTCCCTTAAAACTTTGTCAACTTTCCTTTTTTGGATGTCCCACTAACTTTGCCACTTTCCCTTTTAAGTAATGAATTTGTGGTTCCAGTTAATTCTCTCTCCTCTGCACAAACCTCAACCACACAGTTTTTACTTTATTAATCCCTGTGCCGGTCAAACATGGCAAAGTTTTAAGGGACGGAGGTAGTAGATCAAGTCGCAAGTCAAAAGCGCCAACATCACCATCTAAATAATGAGGGCACATGCCCCCAACGACATCTCAGTACACCTGAGTTTTTAGCATAGAATAAATTATACTTTTAATAAATTAATTATAGAGCCACCAATCAATTATTATTTCTGCAAGTTATGATAGATTTTGATTGTGTTGGGAATTGAATGATGTGTTATTAGACATCCTATTTACTTTCTTCTTAGTTAATGATTAACTAAAAAATAAATCAATTGTTTTTGGGCAAATTAAACAACTACGGAGTATAATGTAATGCTAGCTCTAAAAGAAAAACATCTCCATCTTATCACAATGGAATAATAGGGAAATTCTAAGCGGTAATGCATCAATTTGTACTCCAGTGCCTCAAGTAATTGGTCTCAACTTTGAGTACTTCCCCTTGGATAAAGGATTTTGTTTTTAAATCATCCAAATCAAATAAATGAAGTAAATAAGGAAAATACTCCTTTGGAGGACACTATCAATCTCATGGAGGCATGGTCATAATTTTTATAAAACCATTAAAGGCATAAAACTGCATTACAAATGATGCTGTGTTGAATCAGTTCCAAAAAATAAAAACTTGTGGAGTGTGGTTGCGATAAAAAAAGACACTTTGTATTTGAATAATGTTAGACATTGATTGTTCTATATCTATATTATATGGAGTATGTCATTCGTTCAATCTTTAATGACTTTACTTATAAGGTGCACCTATGAGTTTATAACTATTTTGTGGATCTGCCAGCGCGCAATTATGTAATTATATTGAAGCTTACACAGACATGTACTCAGGCATTTTTTTAAAGAGCTATAAAAATAGGCCTTCCAATTAGGTATCCATAAATAGCAGGGAAAAAGCATGAAGTGTTTAGAAATTGAAACAGTTGAACAAAACAATGCTGATGCAAAAGGTTCATCACAAAACATTTAAAACATCCATATGTATTAATACTTGATAGCATACAAAGAAGTAGAAAGGAGGGAGAATGCCAAATTGGATCAGGTAGTAAGAGCAGCCGCAGCAGACATCTTAAGTTTCCTGAGCATGAACAAAACAGCCTTAAACTCCTGAGCTTCACGTTCAAATTGTTCCACCACCTCCATCAACTTACTATAATGTTCATCAAATACTGCAGCATTAAAATCTTTGAAGCCAATGGCAGAAAACATCAATTTAAGATGGGTTATAAATTTCCCATCATGAGCAACTGATATGCTACTGACCACTTCATTTATCTTAGAAGTCAGAAACTCAGCATCAAACTCAGCTCCATAGTCTTTCCCTTCGACGTTGCACGTTATTTCACTCCCATTCACCACTTTAACACCATCCTTCTGAATAAAAAACTCATCAGCATCCTTGGCAGCAATCTCAGACGACATCACAGGTGCATCCTTCTTCTCATTGTTAGACACTTTCTTTTCTGTCATGCTAATATCATCTTTCTGACAGATCACTTCCAAGATTTCACTTTGCACAGCTGCCGTAATGGTGGCAGTGGCTTCAACACTTTCTAGAGAGACTTTCGCCTCAGATTCGGCAATGCAAGCTACCTTCTCGATTTCTTCAGGAACATCTGCAGCCACTGGTGTTCCGATGGAGGCATTTGTAGCCGCAACGGTGGCAGAGTCTTTAACACTTTCCGCAGAGACTTTCACCTCAGATTCAGCAATGCAAGTGGCACTCCCAATTTCTTCTGGCCCATCATCATCCCCTTTCAGAGGGTCTGCAGAAACTAGTGTTCCGATGGAGGCATCAGCACCGATCACTATGACAGGTAAAAAAATTAAAGGAATTGCTACATAAAGTTTTTGAAAAACAGTCTGTCTCACAAAATGTAATATAAACAAATTTAGTTACTTAAAATCTACATTTGAAAGTTTTTCTTAACAAGGAGAATTTCCATACAATTTTCACTACAATTTCAACAGTTCTTTGTTCTCTAATTTTGAGCATATATTTTTTCATTATATTGAAATTCTATTTTACACATCATGTTTCTATTTAAAGAAAAAATGCTATCGAACCTAATTGAAATACACATAGATAGAAAAATTTATCATCACGAATCATAAACTAAACTACACACACATAAACGAATCTATATACTTATCAACTTGTATGTGACTAATCAAAAGTTACAGTCTTCCTAGTATATACTGTGAAAAACCATGCATAACCAGTTCCGCAACTAAATTTTATTTATAAATTTATACAGAAAATCAGCTGATGAAAAACATTGTCAAATAAATTTTCAGAAATATATACTTTTCATTATTTTATACTACAAAGGAACAGAGGAATAAGAAAACAGAGGAACACTGAAAAGATATAATGATAGTACCATTGTCAACACATATGCTTGAAATGTGTTCAGCTTTTCCCTCAGAGGGGCCGCCATTGTTACATATTTGGGATTCATTAGACCCCTGGACTGATTCAGACGAAGCTATGCAGCATTCATTGATCACTTTAGATGCTTTTTCGTCGTCATTGCCATTAACCCACTCCTTGGTTACCCGAGATAATTCCTCGGGAGCAGATGATGCATCCACAACCTTTTCTGGTTCTTTATTAGTGGAAGCATCGCTGACAATGGTGTTCATCAAAGTCAATGATGCCTTCTCCGTAGACTCCGCAGTATTTCCAGAACCTGTTCATGCCAAACATATTCTTAAATAAAACAAACAAGTGACCTGGATAACAACAGTAACATAAAAGTGAAAGAAATTAATGAATGTTTCATACATACCATGTGCATTGCTTGAAACAACTTTGGCTGCAGCTTCCTTGTTCTTGGCAGCTCTCCTTTTCTTTGGACCGGAAGGCATTTTTTTCCTGGACTTGGAAGATGTTTTCTTGTTGCAGATTACAGATTCTGGGGAGACTTGGAATCGACTATATACTGAGACTGAAGAGCCTTTAACCAAAGCTGCGCTTTAAATAGAAGATAGTTGTGATCGATTGGAATTGAAATGCACTTGTTCATTACCCATGAGAGTTGAGAATTGGAAAGGTTAAACCCGGCCATTCAATGATCGAGTATGTATAGTTTTAATGCATTGATAGTTGAACTCCCAGCCACCTCTCACCCCCCAAACAACGTAACGCGACACAACTATCCATGAGAACATACATTTGAAGAAGATATGGCTAACGGCCTGTCTGGATTGAGTGTTGACGAGGGTTAGTAATGGAAGTGTTAGTAAGTGTTGATGCTAACACTTGTTTGGGAGAAAAATCCAGAGGTGTTAAGAAGTGTTAGTAATGGTTAGGAAGTGTTAATAATAATCTTCTCAACACCTCAATTGTCCATTTTTAACACCCCGATTTGGAGTGTTTTGAGGTGTTGGACAACTATTACCCTTCTCATTTACCCGAAAAACATAAAATGCTTCGACATTTCACTTCGAATGTCTTTCCCACTGGTCTGATGTTTTGTTTTTTCATCTCTTCTCTTTACTCGTTTCTTTTGCCTCGAGGTAAAATTATTAACACTTCCATTATTGACACTTCATTCATTTGACTCTCCCAAACAAGGTAAAATTATGTTTAACACTTACACTTCTCTTCCCTTCTTAGCCCTTACTAACACTTACTAACACTTCAAAACACTCCATACAAACAGGCCCTAAGACGTAAGGTGGGAGAAGTCTCAAATAGGATTAAAATGCGTCCATTTTCTTAGCCCTTACTAACACTTACTAACACTTCCAAACACTCCATCCAAACAGGCCCTAAGATGTAAGGTGGGAGAAGTCTCAAATAGGATTAAAATGCGTCCATTTTCTAAAGTTTTTTTTTTATATTTATGACGGGATAAAATAGACTTATAGGGTGGGAGACTTGGAGAGTTGGAGCAACTGGCCCCATGTTGCTCAGGTCGTCGGACCGCCGCGGCGCCGCCTCTCATCCAACTGCAGTTTTTTCTCTCTTCATAATGCCACCACTATTATGGCAGAAATCTACCGCTGCCAGGACTGTAGCCGGAGTTTTGTGCTTCCACCAACAGATTGATAGTTATGCAAGGGAACTAGAAGTATAATTCATTAGGCTAATTAAATAATTAAGGGTAGAAATGATGATTAGTCATGTTTAAGAAAAATTAAACATAAGATCCTGTTCTTGGAAGAACGTTAGGATTTGTTTACTAACAGAAATATATATCACTTTTCTATTTATATTCTCCGTTCTCCAATTTTCTGTTTTCATTTACTAAATTTTTTATCTCCAATTTGTTGTTTTCATTTTTTAGTTTTCCATTTTCAAAATTTTCATTTGGTTCCGTGTGTCCGACCAGAAGACCGAAAGTACAGTTCCAGTTCGGAATTGAACCTAGTACAACCCAAGTAGGGTACCAGGTCCCACTTATAGGTATACAGGAAAGTCAGGACTGAAATCGGTCGGTCCCGGGACGATCTCAACGATTAGTTTGATGAATTCTTTTCACATTTCCCTATTGATTCACAACTCAACAACTCCTTTAAAACTTTTCACTTTAAAAATGATTTCAAAAAATCGAGATTGAACCGCCGTGTCATTGATCGGCCTAGACAGGGACCGCCAAATCGTTGACGAGACTGGACTAGGACCGCCTGATTGTCGATCGGACCCAACACAGATCATCGAGTCATTGAATTGGCCCGACAAGATGGGGACAACCGGGTGATTGATCAGACAGGACGGGGACCGCTGGATCATTAACCGGACCGAATGGGGATCGTCGAGTCGTTGACCGGATCGGACCGAAACTGCCCAACCGTCGACCGGACCGAATAGGTACCACATGATCGTGGATCAGAACGAATAAGGACCATCGGGTCATCGACCGGACTGGACAGGGACTGCCGGGTCGTGGGCGGACCGAACAGGGGATGCCAGATCGTGGACCGGACATGACAAGGACCACCGGGTCATGGACCAGACTAGACAGGGACCACCAGGTCGCCGATCGGACCAGGACCATCGGGTCATCGACCGGATCGGACCAAGATTGCTCGCCCATCGACCAGACCGGACGGGGACTTCCGGGTCAATGACCGGACCAGACGTCGAGTCGTATCGACCAGACCGGATAGGGACTTCCGGGTCAACGACCGGACCACACGTCGAGTCGTTGACCAAACCAGGTAGGGACCGTGGGTCGTTGACCAGACCGAACTGAAACTAACATCGCAGCAGGGTCGAATCCACCATTAGGCATAAGTATACAGATTCATTGCAACATCCGCATTTTCCAAATTTGGAAAATTAGTAAAAGTCACTTCTTCAATTTATTAAGGAAAGCAAAGACATATCTCATTTTTTTTGTTTTGGATACGACTTTGAGACAATCAGCTCAAAAAACAGGGCGAGGGCGAGCTTTTATATGTAGTCCCACTCAGAAGCTTGAAGATTCAACCTTTGTTTCTATACAATTTTTTTTTGTTTTTCATTTGTTTTGCAAACTAAAATTGTTTTGTATTTCTGTTTTGTTCTTGATCGGTTTTGTACTTTGGATTAGGTGGTGTTTTTCTGTTTAACGTTTTGAATAAGCGAATGATTCAATTTTGGTTAAAGGGTCAAATAGGTCCTTGTACTAGTCGTGTAAGCTCAATTCAATCTCTAAACTAAAAACAAAAATCTAATTCGCACTTCGAACAGGCAAAACGGGTTCAAATTTCATTTTTTACGGGTATATCTTTATTAAGCGTTACAATCACATGAAACATTAATGTTCAAATATTAATTAAAATCTCAAAACATAACAAGAAATCAGTTTGTTGCTTACATAACTACAATATGTCAATATGATTCTAATGGATCAATAAGGATGGTTGTAGATGCCGAAAGTAATCAGAACCGGTATTCAGCTTCAAGTAACTCACATTATACTACTCCACGAGTCCACGTGGATTAACAGAACAAGGAAGTGCTCATTTAACTGCACAGTTATCTTCAAGAATTAATTTGAATGCATTCGCGATTGAAGTTTTAGCTGAAATTTGGTATGAGTAAACTCGACTTGTTGAATAAGATGCTCAAAAAGTTTCATAAAAAGGAACACCGGGAATCATTCCAAATCGCGATGGTCGGACAGAACCTCTTATATAAGGGTTTATTTGATTTTTTTATGAAAGTTGGAGGATCGCTGTTTTCCGAAATAAAATTTGACCAATCGAATGAAAACGATGCCGACCTTCGTTTGAATTCAACGCACTGGCTTGGCTTGGTCAAAAGGGAGTCGTGTAATTTGGAAACAGAGATCCTTAGTTCCACATGGTTGCCGTGTGCATTTTGGGTACTCATCTCGAGCTCCCTTTATCCCTCAGATAAATATAAATAGCCCCTAAACTTAAGACCCCACTTCCATAGACGAAATTACGAACACTAGTCCGTCCTCCCAACGCAAACAGTCCTTAACCCCACCATGAAGAAATCCAGCCTCTTCGCTGCCGCTTCCGCCGCCGCTGTATCCGCTACCACCGCTATCTCCTCCGTATCCCCGTCTCCCAAAACCCAACCGTCTAATTATGAGGTCTGTGTTTGAAATATTTAAACCCCCATAGAATAAGCCGTCGAGTCGTCGTGTCTGTTTAATTAGTTGCTGGAATTGACATTTTTCATACCTTGCCATTATTACAGGAGGATGACTCCGGGAAGAAGTGGGCGACTCCAAGGAAGTCATCACCGGCGCCTGCGGATAAATTTGCGCCGAGGTTTGATGGGTTGAGGTTCATAGAGACGCTGATAACCGCTCATAGATAATCTGCAATCGCGTTGTTTAGTTTTGATTACATTGAATATTCAACCCCCCTCCCGCCAACACCTAGTTAAACAGAGCAACTTCTCACAATCTCCCTGAGCGCCATTGCAGTCATTCTACCATGAATACGGAGTAACATATTTTTTCATGCCTCGTTTGCTTATTTACTTAAATCTTTGTATCCGAGAGATAATATCTAAAATAGATTACATTCTTTCGTCAAATGTGTACATTAGATTGCATGTAAATTTATACTCGTATTTATAAAGAGTGAACAAAATATTTTACCGCCCTCCACTAACGTAAAATGTTTTTAAAGAGTTCGGTACCGCTTACATTAAATAATGAAGCCAAATTGTGTAAAACATATTATATCCCTACACTTTACATTTAAAGTAATTATTTTACACTTTACAATACACACCCTTGAAAGTATTTGTCAAGGTACTTATTCGTACTTTAATAATTAAACATTCTTTAATTCAATTGTTTATTTTGATCTTTCAATGGTTCATGGTATTGTAAATTTAGGGTTTGTTTGATACTCTGTATTTCAACTAAGGGTTATGCTAGAGGTACATACATTATTACAATTTTCTTTACAAAAGATGTATGTGGCAACATCACATTATTTAACACATTACATCACTTTCATATCACTTTTGTATTAAAGGTAATTAAAATATCCACATCACCAGCTTGTAAGTTTTTGGAACAAACAAAATAGAAATATTGGCAAAATCCAATGAAATGGAGGGTTTAAATTTTGTCTAACCTAATATGTTTGAATTTGATTTGACCTAATTTTGATCGATTCGGTCTAATAAATGTATGATCAATGTGAGTAGTGTTATTTGAGGATAATCTTATTTAGATTGAATTTTTCAGATTTGATATAGTCATCATAAACGTTGTACAATTTAATATGATTTAATCTGAGTTGATATAATTACTCCTCAGTTCTTACCTACGGAGTATTTAATTCTAATGTCGTCAGATTTGATATAATTACTCCTCAGTTCTCACCTACGGAATATTTAATTCTAATGTGGTCAAATATGTAAAAATCTGATATCTGGAATAGAGTTAGACTCCGTTCGCAACAGCTTCTCAAAAGCACTTTTATGCTTTTTTGCTATAAAAAAAAAGCTAAAATTTGTGTTTGCAAAACTTAACTTCTCCTTAATTTTAATCATGTTTCCCTCGAAAGCCAGAAGCAACATTGGGGGTAATAAAGTTAAAAAGTAACATTGGGTTATTAATGTTAAAGT